TTTACTTGCTGGAACAAATGTAATTTGAATACATTTTATTTTAGAACCGTCAATGATTATTTGATTGAAAGTTTGCCAGTTTACAATATATATATATAGATGGAAAATTTGCCGGGAGGAAATTAATCCATGGAAGCAATGGTCGCCTCTCCCGTCAAAAGATTGTGAGGATTCCATTAGATCCCGTGTGGATCTCACGGAATAAAGTCCGCCCTAGACTGACGAGGGCCATTAGCCCGAAACCATGGTCTCTAGGTGGACGCTTATCAGTTTGCCAAAGTTGGTGTTGCGGCTTTGTCACCGACCCGATGCCGCTAGTTGCGGCGACGGTCAATAGATGGCGTCAGATTCTGACGTTAATTTTGACGGGAGAGGCGACCATTGCTTCCATATATATATATATAATATAATATAAAAACTCAAATATTTCTATATTTTAAAAAATATATATTTTATTTTATTCATTGATATAATTTTACTTTTGGTTATCATCGTTTTTAGAATGACTTTCAGTTTTGTTGTAAATATGCGTAGTTAACATCTTTTTGAATGAATTTGATCTTATCTATCTTTTGAATCACTAATATAGGATTAACTTTATAAATTCTATATAATGTGGAAATAACTAATGTGTAATATTTCCTCAAGTAATTGAAATAAAAGCTACTTGACGGTAAATAATTATCTTTTTTTTTATCACGACTGCACCCACTCTGACATTGAGGCCACAACGACTGCATTTAACCAACACACTACAGTCATCCTACAGGATTATTCATAACATATATATATATATGTATATTTATTGTAAATCCGAAAAAAATGGTCTTGGAATATCTTAAGATGTCAAAGTATTTATTGATGACGTCAGTACGACTAGTCAACAATTAACAATAACAACAATACACTTATATATATAGCTAGAGAGAAATTTATAAGCCAGGTTCCTGGAGCGCAGAACGCCAACCTTTGTAAAGGTATTACATTTTGTATAAACAAACTCAGCTTTCAGGTGTTTAGCCATCGAAATATTGGCAAATAAATATTTTTATATTTTATATATTTATAATATATGCCTTTTATTATCTATTCTTTAATTATATTTGAAAGTTTCGATTTGTTAGTTGTTAATACATACTATTTAAGAATGTAGCTTAACAAATTCATATTGCGTAAAGATTAAAGTGGAAACCCGTATGTAACTTATAATAACAAAAGAGAAAGTATATAATGAAGGTGTCTATGACGTAATGAGGGTACTCTCCTAATTCCCGTGCAGCAGATCGCTCCAAACAGGACAGAAGATCGCCAGAAGCTGTTGGAGGTCAAAGGTCAGCCGATGTCGAAATACGCCCCCCCACTTTCACCATTAGTTCTGCAGCCGACCACCGCCTCCTCACAAACGATAGTTGTGCCAATATGGCGTCCGAGACATCATTCGAAAAATATAGTTTTAAATCACAGTTTTATGCAACTTTGATTCTATTTACATATGAGCTGGCCCTATCTGCAACTTATTGAAACATTATTCTTTTTTCTTAACATTAACAACAAAAAGGCGTTTATTAGGGCCTATTGCCCTGTATGGATTCGCCATACAACAACAAAATAATACAGTAATTTTTTTTCTCCCTTTCCCCATGTGCACGTGAGCCTTTGTTTGAAAAGGGATTTATTTACACATCTGTTCTAAAACTTTCCTCATTACCTCTTTTGCATATGAATCTATTTACAATTGATCTGTAGAAATTATAGAGTTCTATTGCTATATTTTTCTTTTCTGAAATAGTTCTCAGCGTCTTCAGTGGGTTGCTAAATCTCCAGAAGGTGTTTTTAAGAGTTTTTCTTAACAAGCTTCTTTATATTTTTATTCTAAGATGCCAAAAAAAAAAAAATCATACGCATCAAAAATAGTTCAAAATTTTATTTTGTAATATAATCTTTCTTTTTACACATTACTATAAAAAGTCCATATTGACATTTTAAAGAATTATATGGTATATGGTATGTTATGGAAATATATGTTAACGATATGACGATAATCCCAGACAAACGAAAAAGAACACTGTGGGTTCGATTCCCATCCCTGGATACCTTATTTTTCCGTTTATAATTACTCTTCACAATTCATCCTTTCATACTTCATATCTAAGGTTAGAAATAATCGTTATTTCTCCTTAAAATAAATTTTGATTTTTCGTTCAAAAGAAACACATGCGGGATATTTTTCAAATGGCGTTCTACAATCATAAGCCACATTATATTGTATTATAAATAACAATATATTTGTTGAAATATATCACGATATCAATAAAAATCAAATACCATTCTATACGTTTCTTTATTATCGTTTGAATGCAGGTTTTCGTGCTGTGTATCTCTTCAACTGGCCATTTTTTTCTTATCCTTTTATTAGTCTAAATTAGACAAAATCTTGGAGGGTCGTGCTCATAAAGAAGTTCAAGAACTCTTCTTGGTTCTCTGTACAGGGATCCTTTGTCCTTTCCAATACAATTTAGTATATGTTGGGGAGTAGCCTCTTCTGTTTTGCACTTAGTGCACATGGGAAAGCTTTTGGCTCCCTCTTTATAGACTAGAGGGCGCAGGTGACCAGATTTCCATCTGGCCAACTGTGTCAACTTCCTTCTGTTTAGTTGAAGGGTCTGTTGACCATTTTAAAAACTGAGTTTATAAAAGCTGAAGCTAGAAAGTTTAGCATTGGACGATAATAAAGAAAAGTATGTCAAACTAATTGAAATTTGTTTATTTATTATCATCATTTCAAGATTATAGAATGAAGAATGAACTAGTTGTTTGTGAACGTAACGATTTGATTTCCGATAAAAAATCATATTTAAAGTTCAATTCATTTTGTAAATACATTCTAAACTTTCTACAAAATCTGGATCTCTAATGTTTTCATGTGTTGAATAATGTAAATAACTTATGTTAATAAACTTTTCTCCTTGTTTGGCGCAAGTATCCCTTGCGGGATATAGCGCTTTGGAAATAAAATAATTGTAATTTTAATCATCAAATCAGGAATGCTTGCCTCAAGCAACAATACTAAATTCAGAGAACTATCCCTATATATTTAAAAGTCAGTGTATATATGTATGTATGTTTGTCGGCTATACATGTTCACAATACGTAACTATTCTGATTGAAATTTTAACAGTATATAGAGTAGAATCTGGAAAAACTTATAGTGAAAATATCAGGTCTTTATCCCGAATATTCGTCGAGTTATTTGCAAATTTGCCCTTTCGCTCGCGAGCAGCTCCTCTAGCGGTGAAGATGGGAAGTAATATAAACTGACCTAATGTAAATGTAAAGTTTGGAGCGGGACGTTTCACAAGAGTGACATCCAATTTATAATTGTAACGAATAGTATTTGAATAAAAACATTTAATCGGGTAAAACCTGGGTGTTGCCCAGGTCATTTGGATAGTTTTACATAAACAATTGGTGAATTACAAGGTTTGAGTAGAAGTTTAAAGAAGAAAAGAAGGGAAAAGGACATTAAAATCATGCTTAATTTTACATATTTTCTAGGAACAACCAATGAAATAATAGATAAATAAATAAAATTGAATTGAAATGCTTGAAGAGGTTAAATTTATGTTGGATTTTAAAATCATTTTGTCAATGGTAGACGTATCTCTGGTTTTCTTCAAGAGTCATCCCATGTCTTCCATAAATTCTTCTTTGTGATTGACCTTCTCCAATTGTGATAGTATTCATTTATTTCTCTACCTCTTGTTTCAATGCTTGACACCCATTTATTTCCTTACCCATATAGAACAATAAGAGTATAAGGCGCCTCTCCCGTCAAAATAAGCAATAAAACTAGCGGCCTCGGGTCGGTGACAAAGCCACAACACCAGCTTTGGCAAACTGAGAAGCGTCCACCTAGAGACCATGGTTTCGGGCTAATGGTCCTCGTCAGTCTAGGGCGGACTTTATTCCATGAGATCCTTGCGGGATCTAATGGAATCTTTACAATCTGCCAAAGAGGTGTTTATCTGGAAATATGGCTGGGCCAAATCTATGGGCAGAAAATAGATGGAAATTTTGCCGAGAGGGGATATTAATCTATAAGAGCATAACCATTTGCCGAGAGCCATTAGACCGAAACCATGGTCTCTAGGCGGACGCTTTTCAGTTTGCCAAAGCTAGTGTTGTGGTTTTGTCACCGACCCGAGGAGCTAGTTTGCGGCGATGGTCACAAGATGGCGTCTAGTTTTGACATTTATTTTGACGGGAGATGCGCCCTATGCTCTTATAGATTAAGTTACTCCTGGAAAAAATATCCATCCATATAGAACAATGTATCCATAACTCGCGCTGTACATTCCCCATCATCTACCCAGCAAGCTATCCCTCGTCAATGAAGACAACATGTACAATGATTTGTGTATAAATACATTTTCTAATTACTCCATATATACGGATCTAGATAAAGAGGGGAAACAAAATGATACAATGTACATTTGTAGCCATGTAGCCTAGTGGACATGGCATCTGCCCGGTAAGTGGAACACTGTGGATTCGTATCCCAATCCCTGGACGCATTTATTTTTCCGTTTATCATTACTCTTCACAATTCATCCTTCCATACTTCATCTCTAAGGTTAGAAATAATCTTTATTTCTCCTTAAGAAATAAATTTCAATTTTTCGTTTAAAAGAAACACATGCGGGATAATTTTCAAATATCGTTTTACAATCATAAGCCGCATTATATTGTATTGTAAAGGTTCAATATTTTATAAAATAATTCCTTGCATCAATATTGAGTAAAATTAAACATTCCTCCAGGTAAAGGATCTTTTCAAAACATTTTTATTGTTCTCTAGCTTTCAGACACGGACGTCCTTCTACAGAAGAAAACCTGGTATGCGGTTGTGTAACTTCAAGTGTTGTTTTACAATCACAGGCCGCAGTGCATTATATTGTATTATAAGATACTTTATGTATTATTTACGAACGGAAAAATACGTCCAGGATAGCCAAGTGGACATGGCATCTGCCCGGTAAGCGGAACATTGTGGGTTCGATTCCCATCCCTGGACACTTTTATTTTTCCGTTCATCATTACTCTTCATAATTCACCCTTTCATACCTCATCCAAAAAGGTTAGAAATAGTCAATATTTTACCTTGAAATAAATTTTGATTTTTCGTTGAAAAGAAACTCATGCGGTGTAACTTCAAGTTTCGTTTTACAAACATGGTATATGTTTAAACCAGGTTTTCTACTGTAGAAGGACGTCCGTGTCTGAAAGCTAGAGAATAATAAAAATGTTTTGAAAAGACACTTTCCCTGGAGGAATGATTAATTTTACTCAATGTACATTTATGAAGAATGCTCCTTCAACGACAAAGAGTCTTCCTTTAGACAGATAATCATCGTTGTTATCTTCTCTCTCAAGAATCAATTCACAGATTCTTCCCGAGTCTTAAGATGAGGGTGACAAAAAGTTACTATTTACGGGATAACACACAAAGTTGCAAATTACTAGGGCCTAGAGTAATAGTAACTAAACACACAAAAATCGTACACTCAAAAGTATAACACACAATAAAAAGGTAAATAATAATTCACAATTTGTTAAATAAAAAAAAAAACAGTACTTATCTTTATTTCTGCTTAGGTAGGGATCGGACCGGGGTTACACAGGAAATGCGAAGAGATCACCAGAGACACGGATAAAATACGAAGAGAACACTATAAGCCTCTCTACACAAAACTTTAACCACACTCGCCTCACGCATTCCCTTCAACCCCCTTTATATACAAACATGGCCACATTCGTCCAATTAGAATGCTTGAGAGATCGGTTTACTTATCTAATAAAAACAACGTTCTTCGCACTAAAGAAATAGGATAAGATAAACGTGTAAATATTTGTCAATATAATTTGACAAGGGGAGAACGTGACTTCCTGTCTGGAGGAGGATTCTTTGACGTTGTCTCCTGGAATTTACTTAACTGTATATATAATTTATTCTTTTATTTTATATTTTTCATATCCCACTTTTTTATGATTATTTTATAATACTACCGTTGACTTGTGTATGATGTCAATGAACTATTTTTAAATCTCAAAATCTCAAGAATCAGGAAAAACTTGGAAGTCTTAGTTGACTTGAGAATATAATGGATGTTTTCAGCCATCCTATGTCTGAAGAGATTCTTGCCCTATAGGTCGGGTAAATATTTGAAATTCTATTTTTGATATAGCGATATATATGGTAAATAGTTAAAAAATGATGGAAGATTTGAATGAAAATAGAGAGACGTATTGTTAATTCTCTTCAATGATGTCAGCTTTATGTTTGTTGAGTCGATGATTACATTCAGACTTCTGGTCAATCTGTCCAATTGTCCTACGTCACTAAGTCAAAGGAATGGCGATGTTTTCTGCTAATTACTCCAACGGCCTTGGTTCTTCCTCAGTTCTTCCGCATAGCGGCACCGGCTCTCCTCGACCTTTGCCGTCTATCACCTTCTCTCACCTTTCTATCACCTCTTTGTCTCACTTTTCTATCACATCTTTGTCTCACTTTTCTATCACCTAACTGTCTCTCTCACATTTCTATAACTATCACCGTCTTCTATCACCTTTCTATCCCCTCTTTGTCTCACTTTTCTATCACCTTTCTATACCTATCACCATATTCTATCACCTCACTGTCTCTCTCACATTTATATAACTATCACCGTCTTCTTTCACCTTTCTATACCCCCTTTTTGTCTCACTTTTCTATCACCTTTCTAAATCTATCACCATATTCTATCACCTTTCTATACCTATCACCTCTCATCTTTCTATACCTATCACCATATTCTATCACCTCACCGTCTTCTATCACCTTTCTATTCCCTTTTTGTCTCACTTTTCTATCACCTTTCTATACCTATCACCTCTCATCTTTCTATACCTATCACCATATTCTATCACCTCACCGTCTTCTATCACCTTTCTATCCCCTTTTTGTCTCACTTTTCTATCACCTTTCTATACCTATCACCTCTCATCTTTCTATACCTATCACCATATTCTATCACCTCACCGTCTTCTATCACCTTTCTATCCCCTTTTTGTCTCCTTTTCTATCACCTTTCTATACCTATCATCTCTCATCTTTCTATACCTATCACCATATTCTATCACCTCATCGTCTTCTATCACCTTTCTATCCCCTTTTTGTCTCACTTTTCTATCACTTTTCTATACCTATCATCTCTCATCTTTCTATACCTATCACCATATTCTATCACCTCATCGTCTTCTATCACCTTTCTATCCCCTTTTTGTCTCACTTTTCTATCACTTTTCTATACCTATCATCTCTCATCTTTCTATACCTATCACCATATTCTATCACCTCATCGTCTTCTATCACCTTTCTATCCCCTTTTTGTCTCACCTTTCTATCACTTTTCTATACCTATCATCTCTCATCTTTCTATACCTATCACCATATTCTATCACCTCATCGTCTTCTATCACCTTTCTATCCCCTTTTTGTCTCACTTTTCTATACCTATCATCTCTCATCTTTCTATACCTATCACCATATTCTATCACCTCATCGTCTTCTATCACCTTTCTATCCCCTTTTTGTCTCACTTTTCTATCACTTTTCTATACCTATCATCTCTCATCTTTCTATACCTATCACCATATTCTATCACCTCATCGTCTTCTATCACCTTTCTATCCCCTTTTTGTCTCACTTTTCTATCACTTTTCTATACCTATCATCTCTCATCTTTCTATACCTATCACCATATTCTATCACCTCATCGTCTTCTATCACCTTTCTATCCCCTTTTTGTCTCACTTTTCTATCACTTTTCTATACCTATCATCTCTCATCTTTCTATACCTATCACCATATTCTATCACCTCATCGTCTTCTATCACCTTTCTATCCCCTTTTTGTCTCACTTTTCTATCACTTTTCTATACCTATCATCTCTCATCTTTCTATACCTATCACCATATTCTATCACCTCATCGTCTTCTATCACCTTTCTATCCCCTTTTTGTCTCACTTTTCTATCACTTTTCTATACCTATAACCGTCTTCTATCCCCTCTCTGTCTCTCTCATATCTCTGAGTTAATTCTGTGCCTTCACCCGATCTATCTATTTTGATTCGCATTTTACCTTTATTCTCTATCTACAAATTCTTTACATACTATAAATACCAGATTGGGTCTATGTATCTTCATGTTTTATTCATTGTGGACCTTCATTCAATCACCCGTTTAAACCCCAGAAAGAGATTCAGCTCCCGCCTCAGATCTTTATAGAGACATGACACAGATTCCATGGTCTAGTCCATTATCCAAGGTCTCTGCCCCGTCCTGACACCTGTATCTGCTATGTTCCAGCGATGATCGTTGATGGACTTGCTGAGACATTCAATCCCTTCTTCGGGAGGTGTTCTTCTCTTGCGAAGTATCCCTGGATCAACAGACTCTTTGAGGTCAGCTTCGGACGCTCCTTCAATTCTCACGTCAACCAAGACATACATCGATAAGATTCTCCTGAGCCTTGAGGTGAAGGAATTTACTGAAGATCTCCTATGATTAACACGAGGAGGATTCTTCCTTTTTTGGAATCCTCCTCGACTTAAGCCCGGGTAGTTAATGACTTCTGTACATTTAAGGAACCTGATTAACCAAATAAATAATAATATGGGATTGAATTCTCTTTGAAAATATCTGGGTTCTTTGACTTAATAGTTCTGGTCTATACCTCACGCTCTACACTCTATTCCGCCCACATTGCCGGTCTATGACGACGTACTGATAGCAGGGAGTCATCAGCCAGTCGGGAGGCGGTGCAACGTGCACAGATGGCCAATGAGAAACCATCCATCAGAAGACCTCCTCGACGTAAAACAACGGCGGCCAAGGCTAGAGCAATCTGGCAACCGGGTGCTGAGGTACGCCGTGACCTTTGACCCGCGATCTTCTCCAAATATCGCGCCTGCAAAACTTCCTTCCACACGGCGCCAATATCCAGCATCGCACAAAACAAACCTCTTTTCCAAAAATCTTCTAACATTCCATCCTATGTTCAACGTGGCCGCTTGAAGGACATCTTGGCTTTGCGAACTTCCACTTGAATGACCTCTGACCTTCGAACCTTTTTTGCATATTCTCTTATCCGAATATCACGTTGTCGATACTTCCTTCCGAGGATCACGTGATGTCAATGGCGATCTTCCATTGGAGAGATTTTTTGATTTATGATTATTTGTTACCTTCAAATATCCCATCTCTATCGATGATATCACTCGCTTCAAACAGCAATTTCATCTTCGAAGGACATAGTTAACCCGCAATGTTCCACTTAAGAGACCTTGGATTCGCACGATCATCTCTTCCTTTCATATATTACATATTAGAACATTGCTAGAATGTGTGTTGACTTGGTGTTTACCATAGATTTTTATCTTGAAGACATATCTTAGCACGCTAAATTCCACTTGCAATATCTTTCACCGTACATCAAACTTTTGAAGATAATCTTTTCAAATATCGTTCAGACATCACGATTTCGTTTGGTTAGTTGGTGGAAACTGCATTTTTCCACCTTCCAATGTCCTAGAACCTTAACTTCCATTAAGAGACCTTTGACCTATTCACGCTTCTCACCTTCCTCGAAATATTTTCATTTTAATCACAATTCACCTTGTGCCAATTGAAACTTCATCTTTTAGGGACATGTTAATTATTAACTTCCACTTGATTTATGTTAGATCTTCGAATATATTTTGAAATATTGACCTTCAAATACTATTACATCAGCTTTCCCTTCCTAGGATCACTGCAACCTTTTTGAAGAACAGGTTAAATTGCTAGTATTCACTTGCTAGAGTTCTGGTATTCAGACTTTTTGAAGATAAACAGCTTCAAATACTATTACATCAGCGCTCTCCCTTCATAGTATCAATTCAACTTTTTTGAAGAACAGGTTAAATGGCTAGTATTCATTTGTTAGAGTTCTGGCATTCAGACTTTTGGATGATCATAACCTTTAACTACTACGT